CCCAAGGCCATCATATGATCATTCAGGACTAGTCCACCAACCCCATGAGTACATCTGGAGAATATATCATCATAAGCAGATAGCCGGATGGCCACACTGCTCAAGTGGTAGCCCTGAGCCCATTTTCCAGTATTGCAGAGAAAAGGGAAAAAAAAAAAATAGGAATCAACAGTATTAGACTAGAAGAAATTGTCTCTGGAATACTTTGTAGTAAACCTTTCAATGGGCACTAAGTTCCTGTTATAATATCAAAACTCATATATCCTGACCTCCAATGCCTCAGAATGTGACCAATGCAGATAGATTACCTTTTAAGAAGGTAATCATGTTAAAGTGAATTTATTAAGGTGTCCTCTAATCCAGTACACTGGTGCCATTGTAAGAAGGAAATCTAGACACACAGTTACAGAAGAGAGACTAAATGAAGATGAGAGAATATGGCCATCTACAAACCAAGGAAAGAGATCTCAGACAAAGCAACCCTGCCAGCATCTTGTCCTCTAACTTCTGAGCTCCAGAGCTATGAAATAAAATTCTGTTGTGTAAGCCGCCCAGCCTGCAGCACTGACAACCCTATCAAACTCATGCAGTTTCTAAGTCATGAGAGCCTGATATATTTCTCAGGAGTGCAGAGTTCAGTGACAATCAAAAACAGCAGCATAGCTCACCCACACTGACTTAAGACTGTCAATAACATCTGTTCAAATAAATTTATGTTCCCATCTTACCGACAAGAACAAAAATTCATGCATTAATATGTAGAGATTCAGTAGGAGGAAAACAGGAGTGAAAGTGAGTTTAAGTACAGACATTTTATTCCATTTATCTTCTACCCCCTAAGATATTCCCATGGGAAAATGCCCCCCAACTGTTTAGCTCCATTCTGATGCTCACCAGCACAGCTGCTTTTGGCTAATCTGACCCCTAGTAGCAAGAGTTTTAGAGAGACATTGAGAGAGTAGGGACTAGGCAGCCTGGAAGACAGAAGGTGAAAGAGAGAAAAGGAATGCTCACGAGTTAGTGTGGATGGATAGAGACAGGGCTGTGGTCAAGGAGGAAGAACAACATCTGAAAAGATCTTCCTTTCCTTCTTACTCACTTTCTTCAGACCAATCCTGTTAAGTAGTATGCCAAGAGAAGAAGAGCAGAGGAAGTGTCTCCAAGATACTGAAAAATTAAGAAATTTTACCTACTTTTCTTTTTTCTCTCTCCTCTTTACTTTCTTTCATCTGTCTCTCTTCCAAAATATTCTATATTATAGGTACTTTTATTGGCTATCAGCCTCCTGTTTGGGGGCTAAAGAAAGGCAGGCAAAGAGCCGGGCGATGGTGGCTCACGCCTGTAATCCTAGCTACTCAGGAGGCTGAGACCTGAGGATCATAGTTCAAAGCCAGCCCGGGCAGGAAAGTCTGTGAGACTCTTATCTCCAATAAACCACTAGAAAACCAGGAGTGGTGCTGTGGCTCAAGCGGTAGAGCACTCACCTTGAGCTGAGAGATAGTGCCCAAGCCCATAGTTCAAGCCCCACAACCAACCAAAAAAAAAAAGAAAGGCAGAAAGAAAAGAAAAAAAAGAAAGGCAGGTGATGGGAGGGGAAGAACATAGAAACGAAGGCTGACTACAGATGACTACGTGCTCTCTGTATCATGAATTCAGAAGCTATCAACTTAAATTTGTACACTGGTGACAGAACACACTTGATACTCTGATTTTCTCTCCCACATGGGAAAGTGGTCCTGTAGGGACACTTTGAACCAAATGACTTGAGAGGTGGCGAACGTGGGCCGATAAATGTTTTTAGTGTCTGAACCTGACTCCCTAATTAATTCTTTTTGATTGTTGATCAATCTCCACTAATTACATGGGACCTCAGATGGTAGTTTGAGAGCTAAGGGTGCTATTTTAAGGGCAACATTTTTTCCCCTACATACACACCAACAGAGATAGTCAAAAGGAAAAAAGAATGAAGGAGCTGTAGAGAGACAGTAGTCAGAGACCACCTGCCCCAAGGAAGTCATTGCAGACCTGTACAACATCCACTCCTGATCTGTTAGTTTTATATTAAAAAAGGAATTTTGGTAGTGATTTGTAATTTAGTAAGAACCTTCAGGTATATTATCTCATTTGGGGCTCATAAAACCCTACAGAAATAATTAGGTCAGGGGCTGGAAAGGTGGCTCAGTGGTAGAGTGCTTGCCTCGCATGCATGAGGCCCTGGGTTGGATTCCTCAGTACCACCTACGCAGAAAAAGCCCAAAGTGGCGCTGTGGCTCAAGTGGTAGAGTGTTAGCCTTGAGCTGAAGATCTGAGAGACAGCACCCAGACCCAGATTTCAGGCCCCACAAAAAAAAGAAGGTGATCAGGCTGGGGGTGTAGAGCACTTGACTAACATACCCAGCCACCACCCTGAAAAGTTGTCCAGGTTTTCTAGGAGGGAGAGAGAAAAGGATTTGAGGAGAGGTCTTGTAAGCTGAGACCCAGGGAGAGAGACCACATGAAGTCAAACAGAGGTAAATCCAGGTAAATTCTGAGGGGAATGCTGCTTCATGAAGGACCACAGCCAACAGAAGAGAACTGAAGAGCCACTTGCTCATCCACAGAACCATGAAGAAGATCCACTGCTACTGTTTTAAGCCATTAACTTTTAGGATAGCATATTATACAATAGATAAAGGAAATAGATATTAGGTAACTTCTCTCCTTTGTCTCAAGGCTAATCATCAGAGCTCAAATCCTGTTCTCCTGATTTCAGTGATTATTCACTTCACCAGGACGTGACTGAAATTAAAGAAAAATAATTCAGAACTTTCATACATGTCATTTAAATAATAGAAACGAATTTTAGCTCAGAAGAACTAGCTGTAAAATTATCCTGTCAGCATGTAAATGAATTAAAAATATATGTATGTAAATGTGGACAGGTAGGAGAGTGTTATTAAAAAACTTAGCATGGTTATAAAATGATGATTTTCTCTTCTGTGTTGAAAAATAATTAATCTACCAAAGGCTTAATATACAATGAATCTCAGCAGTATTCTATGAGCAAAAAATATAACAAACTTACCCAGTGACAGGCAAAAGAACAAATCATTATTTATTCAACTAATAGTGAAATTAAGGGACTCCAGTTCCATGCATTAACATGGGTAAACTCAAAAAAATTAAAAATAAAAACAGAAAGAATACTAAAATTTTAATGTTATTTATCTATCAAATGTCCAAAATATAAACCTTAGCAACATCTTGTTTAGGAACATATATGTATTAAAAGCAATAATGAGCCAGATGCCAATGGCTCACACCTGTAATTCTAGTTACTCAGGAGGCTGAGATCTGATCAATCCTAAGTCAGCCTGGGCAAAAAAGTCCTTGAGACTCTTATTTCCAATTAAACACCAAAAAAGCCAAAAATTGAGGTGTGGCTCAAATAGTAGAGTGCCAACCCCTGAGCACAAAGCTCAGGGACAGCACCCAGCCCTAGTTCATGTATCAAGCACCAAAAGCAAACAAACACAAAAAGCAATAATGAAAATCAAGAGGGCAAGAAAAAAATCAAAATATTAAGTTTTCTTCAATGAAGGAAACATTCGGAGAAGGTAGAGAGGGCTCTGAAGTCATGTTTCCCTTCTTAATCTAAATGATAGCTTTACAACATATATGTTACACAGATATAACAATGTGTACTTAATATCTGTGATGGTTTCTTAGCTTTACAAAATGCTTCATAAAACATCTTAAAAGACAACCAAAGAAAGCTGAGCCAATGACTCATGCCTATAATCCTAGTTACTCACAAAGCTGAAATCTGAGGACTGCAGTTCAAAGCCAGCTCAGGCCCAAAAGAGTGTGAGACTCTTATCTCCAATTAACCAGCAAAAAGCCAGAAGTAGAATTGAGGCTCAAGTGGTAGAATGCTAGCCTTGAGCAAAAAAAAAAAGCAAAGAGACAGTACCCAGCCGCTCTCTCTCTCTCTCTCTCTCTCTCTCACACACACACACACACACACACACACACACACAAATTAAATTAAGAGCAAAGCAAAAAGGCCAGAGTGGCTTGATTGGTTGGTAGAGGGCCTATCTACCAAGTGCAGAGCCCTATCTTCAAATACAGGATTACAGGCGTGAGCCACCAATGCCTGGCTTAAATTTCTATCAATCTGCCTGCTATGGACAAAGGTCTCTAAAATAATTATACTACAGGAAGTGGCGCTGTGGCTCAAGTGGTAGAGCTCTCACCTTGAGCTGGGGACAGCGCCCAAGCCCCTATGATGGACAAAAAAAAAAAAAAATCATACTACATATAAATAGGCATACCCTTGTCTAATCAAAGTTGAATGGATTGTTCACAAAAGGTCATCACCTTCCAACTTTAAGTTTATCCCTCCCATTCTCTCCCATAAAGTATCAATTTTCAAATTATTATATATGTATTTCAATTAGTATGCATTTGTATCTGTATATTTTCTTAAATTGTAAGCTCTATGAGGGTAGAAAAGGATTTGGCTCACATGTTACACCAACAAGCACAATTCTTGATACACAGCAGACATTCGATGAAGATTTTTAAGTAAAAGGACAAAATGATTTTAATACTATGTCCCCCTTCTCTCTCTCTCTCTCTCTCTCTCTCTCTCTCTCTCGGCCAGTCCTGGAGCTTGAACTCAGGACCTGGGCACTGTCCTTGAGCTTCTTTTGCTCAAGGCTACTACTCTACCACTTGGGCCACAACACCACTTCTGGCTTTATCTGTTTATGTAATACTGAGGAATTGAACTCAAGGCTTCATGCATACTAGGCAAGCACTCTATCACTAAACCACATTCCCAGCTCTCTCTCTTTGCTTTTGTTTCATTATTCAGAAATATACCAACTTTGAGCAGATCCAAAATTAAGACAAAGTAATCAAAACCGTAACAATTTCTATGCATCCTCAAACAGGAAAATGTCACAGAATGCTACATTAACTATCACAAGTTTAAAGAGTTTTTAGAAACATACCTGAATGAAGCTGAATTTTCCCAATAACACCTTCTACCAACCCCAAACAAATGGGATTCCAGGCAAGAAGTAGGTCAGTAGCTAGAATAAAATAAGAAGCAGTCATGAAAACATATTCACCAGAAGATATCTTTAACAGTATATTAAAAAAGGATGGACATCCCACAAAAGCAGTTATAAACACCCAACACAGAATATATTACCACAAAGCAATTTGAGACAAAGCATTGACTCCAAGGCCTGAACAAGGCTCCTGAAGCTAGGAGTTACACAGAGTGAGCACTAACTTCAGAAACTCCACCTGAGGTGAAGCAGTATGTTGGCGCCCTACAGTGGAGGAAAAAGGATGTTGCACTAGTAGGGCAAATACGAAGAAAATCTCCAAATCCTGAATTCAAGCACAGAGCCAGTCCCACATGCAGACAAGACTCAAGAAATAGCCATGGAGTGATCCACTTACTGAATCATACTTGGAAAACCACCTTTTCCCAAAAATGTTTACATAAACCAAAGCCATCCAGGAAGTAACTGCTCTTTTACACACCTTCTAGGTCAAAAACAATAGGAACTATTTACTGAGCACCCCTCTTTGTTGGACATCTCAATCAGGGTTCTTCATGTAAACCACAGAACAGATTACCCTAATTTGGGAGACTTCTCATTTTGTTCATGTGAGAAATAAAAATGATACTAGACACTCAGAAAAGAAGCAAATTCACTGTATTTAACAGGTTGCAAAAGGTTGTTTGATATATATGGTTTAAAAAATGACTGCTCTGGAAATTCAGCAGCTGAAAACAATATTTCTCTTGCCAGAAAATTCAAATTGTATTTAACTACTGTAAGGTCAGCCTCCCTCCTGGAGGCCAAGTCTCCGCCCAGTACTTGTGTGACCCAGGCAACTAACACACCTGTAGGTCACCTCCAAATCTGCTGAGGTCACATCTGGAGCTGATGTGGCCACACCTCTCTCCCACCTGGTCCCACTCCCCTAACCTGGTCCCACCTCCCTGGATCAGATGTGGCCACACCTTCTCCTGCCCCTACCCTATATAAGGCAAGGCATGGCCTGGGGCCAGATTGCCTCTTTCCCAGATGCTTGGAGTGTCAACCTGGCCTGGTGCTAGCCTGTATGCTGAATAAACCTATCCCTTACCTATCCCTGAATACCACGTGTGTGGTGTTGTTCTTACTCAGCAGCCTCTTTAAATACCTAACAATTATTACCATTTATGTTTGTAGTGAAACATATTCTATGGATAACTCAGAGTAATTATACTTAATAATATAGTCTCTTAATGTACTTGGGTTTTGATGTTTCCTACATGCATTCAGTGAAAGGCAAAGAGTTGACTTTGTTGCTTTTTGTTGTGGTTGAGGATGTTTAACAATGCTATAGCTGGAATCCATGGTTTTATTTTTTTTTGGGGGGGGTCCAGTCGTGGGGCCTGAACTCTGGGCCTGAGTGCTGTCCCTCAGCTCTTCAGCTCAAGGCTAGCACTCTACTACTTGAGCCACAGCGCCACTTCTGGCGTTTTTCTTTTTGCTTATGTGGTGCTGAGGAATCGAACCCAGGGCCTCATGCATGCAAGGCAAGCGCTCTACCACTGAGCCACCTTCCCAGCCCCGGAACCCATGGTTTTACATATGCTAAGTAGCACATGCTAGGCCAAATATTTCACCATTAAGCTACCTCTACGACCTGACTTCACTGGTTTTGTTGTTACTGTTGCAAGAATTAACATAAAATAGTAATTTTTTTAAGACTGTCATATATATTGTCATTTCTAATCTTGACAAGTATGTAGGGTAGACATTAGGAGTCTCATTTTACAGCTGAGGAAATAATGCTTGGAAAACACGATCAAGTTAGGTCTGCCACCAGACCCAGTAGTGCATGCTTCAACACTCAGGAAGCTGAGGCAGGAGGATCAAATCTCCAGGACAACCTGGGCTACATTGTAAATTTGAAGCCCAGTCAGGGCTACATACACGAGACACTGCCTTTAAAAAAAAATAAGTCCATAAGTAAATAAGCAGCAAATAAGTAAACAAGGCCTGCCTCACTGAGGGCTGGGTTCTAAACCATCCTGCTACAGTGCCTCCCTCTGAAATTATATACGTATTTCTGTATTTATTATCAAAGTAGCACCATAAATTGGGAGAAAAAAACTTAACATACCACTGCCAAAGGTAGCAGAATTTTATTTCATTACATTTGCATACTGAATTATACTATAAACAGTATTATGTTAGTAATACCAGTTCATGAGAACAGTATTTTTTCACTTCTTTAAATTATCCATCAAAAACATAATTTCATGATAGAATACGTTCCCAGTTAAGGAAGAATTTGTTACTGAGGAATGTAAGTGATTACAAGGTTTCCCTTCTTTAAAAACACTGTGATGAGAAATATTATGTAAATATTTTATTTGCTTCCTCACTAATAGCTTAGGACAGATCTTAGAAATGAAGTTAGTAGTCAAAACACTAAAAACGCTGGGCATCGGCTCACACCTATAATCCTAGCTACTCAGGAGGCTGAGATCTGAAGATCACGGTTCAAAGCCAGCCTGGGCAAAGAAAGTCCATGAGACTCTTATCGCCAATAAACCGCTAGAAAACTAGAAGTGGTGCTGTGGCTCAAGCGGTAGAGCACTGGCCTTGAGTTGAAGAGCTGAGGGATAGCACCCAAGCCGAGTTCAAGCCCCACAACCGACCCAAAAAAAAAAAAAAAAAACTAAAAACTTTAAAGTTCTCTAGCTGTGTGCATTGGCTCAAACTTGTAATCCTAGCTACTTAGGAAACACAGTTCAAGGGATTATAGTTTGAGGCCAACCTGGGGAGAAAAACAAAGTATGCAAGACTCCATCTTGACCACTGGCTGGGGCCAGTGGTACACATTTGTTAGTCATCCCAGCTAAGAAGCAACACAATGGCTGAGTATGGTGGTGCCTACCCATCATTCAGGGATGCAGGGAAATACAAATAGGAGACTCAAGTCCAGGCTGGCCCATGCACCAAACAAAATAACCAATGTAAAAACAGGTTGTCAAAGTGGCTCAAGTACAAAGATCTGAGTCCAAACCCCTGTACCACCAAAAATAAGTTAAATTAAAAAATAACTTTCTTGCTTGCTTGCTTTCTACAAATATTACACTATATGTCTTCTACAAGAAACACATTAAAATGATTGTTTTAGCCAGGTGCTGGTGGCTCACACCTATAATCCCAGCTACTCAGGAGGCTGAGATCTGAGGATCGTAGTTCAAGGCTGGGCATGAAAGTCCATGAGAGGGATGGGAAGGTGGTAGAGCACTTGCCTTGCATGCATAAGGCCCTGGGTTCAATTCCTCAGCACTATAAATCAAAAAGAAAAAAAACGGACCCAAAAAAAAAAAAAAAGTTCATAAGATTCTTCTCTCCAATTAATCACTAGAAAACCGTAAGTGGCTCTGTGGCTCAAGTGGTAAAGTGATAGCCTTGAGCTGAAGAGCTAAGGGACAGTGTCCAGGCCCAGAGTTCAAGCACCATGACCAACCAAAAAAAAAAGATTGTTGGGCTGGGAAGGTGGCTCAATGGTAGAGTGCTTGCCTTGCATGCATGAGGCCCTGGGTTCGATTCCTCAGCACCACATAAGCAGAAAAAAAAAAAGCTGTAAGTGGCGCTGTGGCTCAAGTGGTAGAGTGCTAGCCTTGAGCTGAAGAGCTGAGGGACAGTGCCCAGGCCCAGAGTTCAGGCCCCACAACCGGACCCCCCCCCAAAAAAAAAGGATGCAGAAGAGACACCATGTCAGGTTATGATATTTTTTAAAATAAAGGAACAAATAATCTGTGTTTTAAAAGACTAGGGGTGGAGCAGGGGAGGGGGTGGGGGTGGGTGCAGTTGCTGGGAATGTGGCTTAGTGGTAGAGTGGTTGCATAGCATGCATGAAGGCCTGGGTTTGATTCCTTATTGCCACATAAACAGAAAAAGCTGGAAGTGGCACTGTGGCTCAATGGTAGAGTGCTAGCCTAGAGTGAAAGAGCTCAGGGACAGCGCCCAGGCCCTGCATTCATGCCCCAGGACTGGCCAAAAAAAAAAAAAAGATTAGCAGGTACAGTAGAGATAGAATAAGAATGCAAGTAAACTGAGGCTAATTGTGCTGGGACTTGAATAAAGACAATGAGACTGCACTGAAGACTATGGCAGGCAGGTAAGGACATCAGTAAAACAGCTTTAGAGCTAGGGATTATATGTCAGTTGGTAAGAGGAACCCTCAATTACAAGTTAATTACAATTGTTGAAGGTCCATCACAAAAAAATACTTCCTACACTATGTCCTAGTGAACACATATAAATATATAAGTATCAGAAACAAAAGTTTCATGAACTGTACAGAGGAAGAAACTGGAGTAAGGAATGTACCTAATTACTAATTGTGGGTTGAAAGGACTTGAAAGGTCACAACAAATGAGCTTGGAAGAACAAATGAGCTTGGAAGATGTTTATTAATAGGTAAAGAATACACCTAAAAAAAAAAAAAAGAATATACCTAAGATTAACATAAACCAGCTCAAAGGAAGCTAGCTGAAATGGAGGAAGAACAGAAATCAAAGATGATACTGAACATCTATTTTCTCTCCAGAGTAGGAAAGGTTGAAGACTTGGGCAAAAAGAATAAAAGAGGGCTGGGAAGGGGGCTCAGTGGTAGAGCACTTGCCTTGCATGCATGAGGCCCTGGGTTCAATTCCTCAGCACCACATAAGCAAAAAGAAAAAAAGCCAGAAGTGGTGCTGTGGCTCAAGTGGTAGAACGCTAGCCTTGAGCTGAAGAGCTGAGGGACAGCCCCCAGGCCCAGAGTTCAGGCCTCACGACCTGACCCCCAAAAAAATAAAAATAAATAAAATAAAAGGGAGTGAGACAAAAAGCCGAAGGTAGCCGGGCACTGGTGGCTCACGCCTATAATCCTAGCTACTCAGGAGGCTAAGATCTGAGGATCACGGTACAAAGCTAATCTAGGCAGGAAAAGTCCATAAGACTCTTTTCTCCAATAAACCACTCAGAAAACGGGGAAGTGGTACTGTGGCTCAAGTAGT